AGGTGCAAAATTATCATGGCAAAAAAAGTGTAGTAATAATGACACATACACGATTATCTTGCACTGGGTTGGGCACTCACTAATTGAGGACATCATCAAGATTTGCTAAAAGATATTTTGGTTTATTACCCATTTCCAAGTAAAGTCACACATATTCCAGTTATGTTCCTGTTATCTTAAATAGATATTGTATTCTACCTCCAAAATATGAAGGCAATATCTCAAACATGTTTCCATAGAAGATTAAGAGCTATTCTAGTGAAAATTAGATGCATTTTTTTTCTTGTCATGCCTAGATATTTTCTTAAACTCACTCTGCTCCTTAGAAGCTCAAAGATTTCCAATAATGTTTTGTTTTACAAAGTATAGTATATTAAAATATTCTCTTCTTGAACAATAATATTCTACAGTTGTACATGAATATTCATGCAATGGGAATATTCCTAATTGTCAGAAGCACCTTAAAATGAATAAACAAGAATCGTTTTTAATGTTGTTAGTTAAACACAACTAATTACCAGCTTTATGTAGTTTTCATAAATCCAGACCACAGAAGAGAGGCACTAAAATTAAGGACATCAAGAATCTAAATCTGAAACTCTTTATGGAAAGCTATAGTATTGTGCAAACTTGGGTCATTGCTTTTCAAGTAGGCAGTAAATGAGTGCTCATTAAAATGAGGCAAATAGCTTGACTGCTACTACTCTTCCCATCATGACAGTATTTGCTAATGTCCAAAAAAAAAGAGTATTTAAAAAATGCATGATTTTAGGTAGTTGCTGAGTTTTTAATGGCCCCCTTATATAAACCAAATACAAGAGATGTGACCCACCCGTTGATTGAATCAACCATTGATTCAAAGGACAGGTCTTCTCATTAAAGTGAGAAGTTGGATGAAGAGTGCATGTTCAATGCTTTTTAATTTTATGCAAAACTTAACTATGCAAATTTTAAATTCTGCTACATAAAATATTGATAAAGTTTCTCTATATGCATAATTTCAATGCATATGAATTCTCCACACAAACTTCTAAATAAGAATCACTTGATTCTAGAGCTGGCAAGGCCAGTTAATGAACTGTGTTTGTGTTATTGCAACATGGCTTTATCTGTTAAGCAGAAATGTCCACCCACCACTGGCAGATTCAGCCTTAAATTGCTCAAGATTTCAGGAAGTCACCTCTCACATAAAACTCCAACTCTCCTTTCTAAGTGACCTATACTGTAATAATCACATGATTTATGGTTAAAGACCAACCTGCAACATTCTATCTATGTAAATATGAACATTTGCCAACAGAAAAATCAATTATTCCTTAGGCTTAGGCATTTTGGATCACATATGGTGATGTTGACGTAAAACCAAAGTGTTAATTTAGTTCAATCAAAATTTTGAACATTTCACTACAACACACCAAATGTTTTCACAAGTGCCTGAACTTATAGATTATGGTCTCATGTCAGCAGAGAGAGAAATAAATAGAAAAAAAGGCCACATGGAATTTTAAGACATTCTTCCTCACAACACCCAATCTTCAAGACACTTCTGACATGTTTTGCTTATTGGGAGCCTGGGTTGAATTGCACAGAATTTATAACAAAATGTGACCAAAGTCTGCAAAACACAATTGATTGGGGCTTAATTTATAATTTGGTCAATCTGATCAACCTGGAATCTTGTATAATATAGCTATTAAATGCATGGCACATGCTCACAGTCTTATAGGCTACATGCTTTCAGTTCCAAAATTGCAAAAGCTGAAGTGTGGAAAGAATCTTACCTCTTCCTGCTTAAACAAATATATATTGCTCTAAGATTAAATTTCTGAGAACTGCAAGTCTTTGGTTATAATGAAAAATTATTGCAACCAACTAAAGAACTAACCTACTTTTCCTCAAAACTAAAAGAACAAGTGTTGCAAAAACCGGTTTGGCTCAATGGATAGAGCGTCGGCCTGCGGACTGAAAGGTTCCGTATTCGATTCCGGTCAAGGGCATGTACCTTGGTTGCAGGCACATCCCCAGTAGGAGGTGTGCAGGAGGCAGCTGATCGATGTTTCTCTCTCATCGATGTTTCTAACTCTCTATCCCTCTACCTTCCTCTCTGAAAAATCAATAAAAATATTTTTTAAAAAATAAAAGAACAAGTATTCACAAAAATTCCCCTGAGAAATCTAGATAAAATAACAACCCCACCCCCAATAATAGAGATTATATTTTTAAAGCTGTAAGTCTAAACAACTATTTTGAGACTGGAATGGTCAGTTGGTTTAGCTGATTAAAGTATACATTTGTGAGGATCCTTAAAGACATTTATACTGAACTTTTTTAAGATAAAGAAAATGATAGCCCAGCTAGTGTGGCTCAGTGGTTGAGTATCATCAACCCATGAACCAAGAGGTTACCAGTTTGACTCCTGTCAGAGCACATGCCAGGGTTGCAGGCTCAATCACCAGTAGGGGGTGTGCAAGAGGCAACCAATGCTTCTCATCAGTGTTTCCATATCTCTATCCCTCTCCCTTCCTCTCTAAAAGTCAATAAAAAAACATATTTTAAAGTATAAAAAAAAATGGCCATGGCCTTTACTCTCTGAAATCAATTATACATTTGTGAGGAGCCCAGCTATCATATCTATGGTATATATATATATATATATATATATATATATATATATATATATATATATATGCCATTCTTTATATTTTAAAAAACTTTTCTTTTCTAATGAAGTCATATACTACAGATATTATTTTGTAAATTTGTGAATTTCTCTAGATAATTTTTAATATTCTATATCTAAAATATAATTTAGAAAAGAACATGTGAACAGAAGAAACAAAATCAAAGAAGAGAAATGGAGGGAGGAAAGAAGCCTGTAGATTGTACTTCCTCCTGGAAAGTTAAGCCAATCAATGAAAATAGCAGTAACAAGATATAGTTTCCCTGGGCATAAAGTTTTGTTTGAAAGCCCATCCCAGAACTTGTCTGACAGGCTTCAGTGAGCTTCATAAAAGAACACAAGCCCGTGTTCTTTGCCAATATGTCAATGTGTTTCACTTAGGGTGGGGTTATGGAAGAAGCCATTAGCAAGTTGTTCATGAATAGGCATCAGAGTTCCACGAAATCCTTGAAATTACATACAAATATTTTTGTGACTGTCCATATGTACAATTATTTTTCTGGAGAATGAGTAACTAGCTGTCAGATTCATGAAAGTATTCAAATATCCCAGTCTCTAAAAAATAGACTTAGAGGTTAATGTCCAAAGAAGAATTTAACGTCCAAATTTCAAGATGAATGTACTTAGTCCTCATAATCAGCAGCAATGGGGGCAGATCTTCATCACAGACACCCGAACAGAGCTTCCAACAATCTCGTGTCGGAGTCATGAAGGGCTTCTGGGTCATGAAGGGGAGCAATATGACCTTTCACATCCTTCTTGGATTTGAAGGAGTAACTCTCAAAACTTATCCACACACAGAAAACTGATGGGACCATGAGTGTTCTCTCTCTCTCTCTCTCTCTCTCTCTCTCTCTCTCTCTCTCTCTCTCTCTCTCTCTCTCTCTCTCCATTTCCCTCTGAGGAACAAAAAGAAATCTTGGCATCTTGCCTTGAGCAACAATTTTCTGGGTGTTTTTTTTTAAACACTTGATTTAAAACAGCACACATTTGTGTGTAACTGGCATTTTGAACCACTCCTTTAAGATGAAAATCAAGCCATGAAAAACTGATTTAGAAGTAAAGCAGATCACATACAAGTGAAATAAAATCTCTTATTAATGGAGCAAGAAACCAAACCCCAAACCATTATTTCTCACAGGGAAGCAGTTTCTTGATATAAGATAAAAACAAAGCAAAAGGAGGAAGAGAGAGAACTGAGATGACTAAAGGCTAATTCTAATTCCTATTTATAGAAGTGGTATAGAATCTTGATTAGTTCTCTTTGAAGATAACTGCTTTGTGTACCTACAAAACCATCTCATTATCATGATACTGCTCAATAACCTAACTTTTCTGAGAATGCTGAATGAGAAAATACAAAGTGATACCAAATTGAATAAAAGGACATCATTCAATGAATAAAGATGATGCTTGACTTGACACTTAAAAATGAATTTGATTTCTTTCCCATGCCTCTTATGGACATTTGTTTTTAATATTTGTCTTTAATATGTTAGGTTGGACCATATGTAAGTACTGATATTAAGGCAATTTTTACTTGAAAATATCAATATATTTTGGTACAGCGTGCATAGTTTTAAATCCTTTAAGAAAGATTTGTGAAACCACTGAATTCTGCAAATGTTTACTGACCATCATGTGCCTGACACCTTGCTCAGTAGAGAGGGATGCAATAGTGGCAGATGGCAGAGTCCATGTCCCCTGATGACTATTATACTGCTTAGAGTCAATAATCAGGCTGATCATTTATGGTCAGAAATAAACCCATTACTCAGTGATTGATCCAGCAAGTTAAAATATGCCATCAGCTGATTTTCATAGTCTTTAATCAAAAAGAATCATTTAGGCATTACCACTGTGATGACTTCCAGAAGGTGACAATTTAACTTCCCATTTTTCCTATAACAGACGGAACCATTGAATACATACAAGACTTGCTTAAGATCACCTTTATCTTCCAATCCTTGGCTGCTGGTCGGATGTTTCATCTAGTGATCAGTTCCTTTCTCTCCTCTCACTATGCCCTCGCCTATCAAGTATGGTCACCAGTGTCTTAACTGACCCCAGCACCTGGTCATTGTTGGGAAAGAGCAAAGTCAACTAGACTTTCTGGGGGGAACATTCTGCCAAAGGGCTTCCTGTAAACGTTCCCTCAGTATTTTTATCCCCTCGTATGTTGTTACCTCCCCCTGTGCTCAGTAATTTTAGTTTGTGCTTTTTGTTTCTCTTTTTTTTTTTTTTTTTTTTTGTGTTTCTTTGGTTTGCTGGCTTTGTGTTCTTTTCTCTTTTTTCCTTTTCTTTTCCTTTTTTAATGCAGGAATCGGCCAAGGCGTTCCAGTAGTGGCGCTCATTGTGGAAGGAGGACCCAATGTGATCTCCATTGTCTTGGAGTACCTTCGAGACACCCCTCCCGTGCCCGTTGTTGTCTGCGATGGGAGTGGACGGGCATCCGACATCCTGGCGTTTGGACATAAATATTCAGAAGAAGGCGGGTAGGTAATTTACCAGGCCCCATAGGGGACCTGTGAGTGCAAAGCGGAATATTCTGTAAAAGCTGTGCTAGCCCACACTGATGATGGAGAGGATGAGGGGAAGAAAGGGGCTTTGGGCCTTTCTCTTTTTTTCATTAGCACAGCCAATCTGGACCATTTAGTGCAGGTTTGTAACGGGGGAAGCTGGTATATCCACTTCCAGGCTTGGCCACAAACACCAGCATCACTAAACTGGTTTACAAATGCTAAATGTTTACAAAACCAATTGGCAGCCTTTGCTGTCAGATCCCTCTAAAATGGCTTGGAAAGGGGAATCTCTGTAAAGGTAACCACTCTGGCCCTATCTAAACACCTCTTAAATCCCTCATGTCCTTTCCTTTATCTGTCAGCCCCCCGTGCTGCTTTCAGTAATCCAACGTCCCAGCCCCACTGAGGACTTCCCTTCCTGGCCCTATTCTCCCCCTGAGGTTCCATCCAGCGAATTGTGGGATCCAGCACTCATAGATTATTAGATGAAAGTAATTTATTTTCAAGGTGTGAATGAGTTGAAGGGGAAAACTCAAGGGAGACATTGAAGTTTTAAATAAGGAGCTTCCTAACCTGATCAATTCTTCTAACACAGAGAGAGAAAGGAACCCCAGAGAAGATGGGGGTCTTGTATTCATACCTTTAATAATTCTACTATAAGTGTTTACTCTGGGCCATGCACTGAAATATAGAAAATAACATACCATTTCTACCCTCAAAGAGCTTGCAATAGTGTGGCCAGTGTGGCTCAGTGGATAAGCGTTGACCTGTGGACCAAGAAGTCATGATTTCGATTCCTGGTCAAGGCACATGCTTGGGTTGCAGGCTTGATCAGAGTAGGCCTGGGGCGGGGAGGCGGGGAAGGCAGAGGGAAGAGGGGTACAGGAGGCAGCCAACCAATGATTCTCTGTCATCATTGATGATGTGTCTCTTTCTCTCCCTTCCTCTCTGAAATAAATAAATGTCTGTGTGTTTGTGTGTGTGTGTGTGTGTGTGTGGTTTAAAGCACTCACAGTAAATCTAGTAAGTACCGTATTTTCCGGCGTATAAGATGACTACTGTGTTCTAGTAAAAAGCCTGCTCAGATTGGCCAGAGTCAGAGAGGCGGTCTATTAAAAAAAGAACTGGTGTTGCCTCGGAAGTGGGAGGGTAGTCTTATACAGCGAATATAGGCCTAAACCTATGTTTTAACTGTAAAATTAGGGGGTCGTCTTATACACCAGAAAATACGGTAGATAAGTTAGTATTGTAATTATAATAATAAAAGTGACAGGTGAGCTTGTCTACTTCACAACACTTCCCCCTCCACCTCTCTGTCACCCAGTCTGCCTTAAAGTAATGAGATGCAGCATGGCAGCCCAATGCCGTCTTTTCTCTCCACATTCTTTCCTTTTCTCAGCCAGCAGCCCAGCACAGATGAGCCATTAAATCGTCACCCTCACCTGGCAGGTGCGTGAACCAAAATATATGAGAGGAGGAATAATGAAAAGCATGGGGCCTCTAGCTCAACACTGCAAATACTGATAGTTATTTTAAGCCCTGTTAAAGCTTTTGATACTTTTCCTAAAAGCTAATTTTTTAAAATATACTTTATTGATTTTTTACAGAGAGGAAGAGAGAGGGATAGAGAGTTAGAAACATTGATGAGAGAGAATTATCGATCAGCTGTCTCTTGCATACCCCCTACTGGGGATGTGCCCGCAACCAAGGTATATGCCCTTGACCGGAATTGAACCCCGGACCTTTCAGTCTGCAGGCTGATGCTCTATCCACTGAGCCAAACTGGTTTTTCGACAAAAAAAAAGTAATTTTTATAAGCACACAATTGAAGTTTGCTTACTGGCAAATTTAATTAAATTACTTTTCTTCTTTGATAGTAAATATTGGCCCACTTCATAACTAAGGGAAAGAGAGAGAGAGAGAGAGAGAGAGAGAGAGAGAGAGAGAGAGAGAGAGAGAGATACATTTGCCCAAATGCCTGCATATTACCAACAAAATCCTCAACTGTGCTTTGCTTTAGCCGAAGTTCTCATTGATTTGAATATAGCCATTTGTTCCTTTTTCTGAAATAACTAAAGAATTGATGCAGTTTTTATCTTTGGCTTATTTTTTGCTTCCTAGTGCTTGCAATTATTTTGTTGTATTTCCATAAAGTAGGCATAAGTTTGGATTCACGGTGCATGTTCCTTTTCAGGAAACTAATGAAGAAGCAAGGTGTCTGCCTCGGCATTTCAGGTTTTCTTGGTCCATACACAGTGAGAGTCTGTAGCTAGTGTCTATTTTTGTCATTATTTGGGGTTGTGTACCTTGAAAATGTTAAGATATTTGGTAAGTTACCCCTCCTGACTCTATTTTAATAACAGAGAACTGTTATACATGTTAGAACTGGGCGGGACTTCATATTATCTAACCTAGGAAACAGATACATAGAGAAATTAAATGCTTTGCCAAGGTCCCACAGCTCATGATCCCAGATCAGGGTTCTTTCAGGCGTATTATAAATCCCAGGAATGGGTTTTTTGGTATGTGCTTCAGTGTTTCTCATATGGAGGTACTCTCCTTTAAACACTTCAGTTACCCTCAGTTGCCTCTTTGTATTATAATTTTCTGATATTTTTTATTATTCTGTGTATTCCAAAAAAATAAAACCAGTGCATTCCAAGCTGATCAATCCAAGTTGTAAACCAATGTCCACACCGATCAACTCTCCATCATGTGAATTCTTTTCCTTAACTAACCCAGATCATTATGCCCAAGCCTGAAAATTAAGTCAGAAATCCCATGCCCCTTTAACCTTAATTGTCTGTTTTAGTTTTAAAACTAAAGTTTAGCTTTAGTTCTCATTATTCTATGGTCAAAATATGCAAGAGCACAATCTATATGGGATCTATATAAACACATGAACCATGACTGATTATCAAAGAATATGAAGTCATGCACATAACTAGTGTGGAGAGAAAGAATTAAGATATAATCTTGTATCTTGGGAATTATTTAAAGCTAAAACCTTAAGGTTTCAAATAAATATTTATAGACTGTTATGGTTAAAAGTATGTTCTTGCTACTCCAGGAAAGCTATTATACATTTATCATGATAAAATGAGTTTGGAATGTTTCCGTGTGCCATCTGAATAACTGCCAGAATTAATCACGCTTATTTAGCTTGAAATGAAGTTGTCTAGCCACACATGTGCAGCCAATTAAAAAAATTTTTTCCGAAGAATATGATTTTGCAGTAGTGTGCTGCTTTCTCTACACTAAGAAAAAGAACTAGCCCACCTAGACTTCATTCACCAAGGAGGATTTCTTCTTTTATTTCTAGTAAAGCCCAACAGAGTTTGGTACATGGTTCACTATAAATAAATGTGAATGCGTAACTATTTTTATATAAACAAACGGACCTAAATATGTATGGTTATACATGTAGAGTTGACTATAGGAAACATACATCATTTTTACTTTTCAGTTACTTTGCTGATTTAAATATGATTAAAATTTTTTATTTATAGGTTGTTAAATAATATAGGCCCACAGACTATAAAAGTGCATATCTAGCTAAGTAGCTTATTGTTTTATTTTCTTAAAGATGTGAATAAAATCTTCATCTCTCCATTTTAATCTTTGTGACCTTGATACCAGGTCTTTAAACTCTCTGTTATTAAACCACTTTCCATGAATTGGAATTTAAAAGGGAATTTCTTTGGAAGCAAATTATAATTGGCAAAACTAATTAACTTTTGTAAATGAGATTACTTGAGGTAGAAAAAGATATGACTGATCTATCAAAACACAAATGGGGTTAGCCGAAACCAGTTTGGCTCAGTGGAAAGAGCATCAGCCTGCGGATTGAAAGGTCCCAGATTGGATTCCGGTCAAGGGCATGTACCTTGGTTACAGGCACATCCCCAGTAGGGGGTGTGCAAGAGGCAGCTGATCGATGATTCTCTCACATTGATGTTTCTAACTCTCTATCCCTCTCTCTTCCTCTCTAAAAAATCAATAAAATCTATTTTTTTTAAAAAGCACAAATGGGTTTAGATAAAAAAAAAAAAAAGAGAGAGAGACAATTACAATTAAATACTTACTTTTATTTTTGTCTTTTTTTTTTTTTTCCTACCTCTGCTCTGTGGCATACACTACCTGAAAGAAATGTTTGAGTTTTTTTTTTATTTCTTATTGCTGTGCTGGATTTTCTATTTCCCACCTGTATAGTTTAGAAAGAGTCATAAGTCACTATCCATAACCAATTTCATTGCTTGAGAAATATTACCAAATTTTATTTCTGAATTGTAAATTGCTAAATACTGTGAACACAAATAGATTAGTGCTATCTAAGTAGCATTACATTCAATAATATAAATTTTTAAATAGTAGGCTTATACTTTATGCTGTTTGACAATACCCAGGAAAATACCCAGTCAGGAAGACTTTGCAAGCTTCAGGTGGCTAGAACTGAAGATATGACTTTGCCTGATAATTGTCCACATAGGTCTAAGATTACTGGGAAATTAGCTAGTGAGCATGTATGGCACAGGTGAAAAATGTCAGTGTGAAAAAGGCATCTGAATGAATGAATGTTTTGAGATTATGTCCCTCGTTCATCTAGATGTGTTTATTTACTAGAGACCCAATGCACAAAAAATTCATGCAAGAGTAGGCCTTATTTCCCCTGGCTGCCAGTACCAGCTTCCCTCCGGCACCGGGAATCTGGATTTCTCTCCTTCGGCCCCAGGCAGACACCTGGGACCCACTGGCTTCCCCATGGCTCCCTCAGGCACCTGGGGCCCTGGCTGGCTTCCCCTGGGCCACCCGCATGCACCCAGGACCCAGCTGGCTTCCCTCTGTTCCAGGAAGGACATCTGAAATGACATTGGGTCTAATTAGCATATTGCCTTTTTATTATTATAGATACTTATGTTTGTCCCAAAATAATCACCTGCATTTACCATTTTTAAACACCCCCAGGACAAAAA